TCCCTCCCTCCCTCCCTCCCTCCCTCCTCTCTCTCTCTCTCTCTCTCTCTCTCTCTCGCTGTTGATCGGACTTGTGTGGAAGCATAATGTAACATTCATGAGAATCAACAGGAATTCAGCTTAACCAGCTGACAAACTTAAAGGATAGAATTGGTACAGGGATGATCTCTCCGCCATTGTATTATAAATAAAATAAAACAAAAGACTAATAGAATACAGTATTCCCCATGCCTTGGGAACACAAATGAAGTGTTTTTAAATTATATAACATCAATTGGGCTTTTAGCAATTTGTTTTGGAGGTAGATTACGGTTCTTAGTGGCTTGCTACCTAACACAAGATTCCAAAAATTCATTTAGTTCCCAAAGAACAGCACATACTTTTCAGGGAAACCAAGGAGTTCATTCATGTAACTTTCATTTATCAAAGAATTATAGGGAGAATATGCAAACATCAGATATATTAATGGCAATATATCAAGCAAGCCATAAAAGCATACTAATTAGAAACCATGCAATGAGCCATATGAAAACCAATTTTGCATCAAATCTGTAAATGCAAGCATCATCATATTCTACACAAATAGAATTCATTGCAACTCTCTCCTTGCAAAAGAGGCCTTTGAATTACATGGAACTTCACAAAATATGATCTCTTACAATTCACAGCTACACATAAGGAGCCAACTCACTTTGAGTTTAAATGATGAGCAACAGCAAAACCAATCCAATTCATTCGATGATTAGGTTTCAAAGTCAAGAGTTGCTGCCTCGTTTCAACAAATCCAGCCAAGTCTCGCATTTGAGCCTGCATTTCATAATAATTGAGAAAAAGTAAAGACGCATGTAAAATGTAGGCTCATATCAAACAAGCAAATTAAATTGCCCTATACTGTAACTCATACTCCAATTTTTCATGTTAGCTAGTTATCCATATACTTAAACTGTAACTGAAGGCCATGCATAAAAACGATGTGCTAATGCACAAGACCTAGAGAGTGTCATGGATAATAGAAACTCCAAGTATAACCATCTTTGTCAGTAGGAAATAAGAGGAACCAGCAGAACCACTAAAAGGAACACGCCACACATCCAGTGAGGCAGTACTACAGTAAACTTTGCATTGAAGACCAAAATATTCACCTGTAGCAGAGAGAGATCACGAAGAATTTCAATATTGTCAGGGTCTATCCTCAAAGCATTTCGGTAACATTTAATGGCTTCTCTGTATTCCCTATCAGACCGATAAAGAAGGCCATACACGTGCCAACAAACATGACTTTTCAAGTCGTTCTGCACAAAGTCAAACAAGTCAAGTTAAAGATGCATGCCACAGACTCAGATGCATCAGCAGCAACAATAAACAGCCAGTGATTACAATAATCCCAACAAAACAGGAAATGACGAACCTTTAGTCCACGCCTGACAAGTTCATAAGCCTCGGGTTTGCGGTCCATGCAATTCAGTGTCAATCCCTTCATTGACAAAGTCTCTAGAAGAATGACCAAATAGTTAAGTAATGGTTAAGAAGGATAGTGGCTTAGCCCTCGAAACAGGAAAAGAGAAAAGAAAGGCAACCAGAACATTGCTGACCATTAGAAAACTACTAACCAAATTTGGAATCTCAGGAAAGCAAGAAACACAAAGTAGAATAAAGAACTCTCATAGATATTTGCCAATAATACCCATATCATAGTAACTTTACAAGGTGGATCACAATACCAGGAAGACTGATTATCACTTAAGCTACCCATGAATCCAGAGAATTACTGCTAGAGTCACAGCATCATCTTAGCCCATGAATCCAGACAAGAACCATATTGAACAAATCCAACCATTTTATGAATATTAGAATAATATCAATACAAAACAACTATTCCATTTATAGGACTCGATACAGAAGAACTTACAAGGATATTATTGGTTTGTTTTGTTGACAAATAACATAAAGAATAGCAGATATTGAGAATGAGACAAGCCGCATAAAGGAAGCAATCAAGGGATGTAAACAGAAAATGGAAGATCATAGTGGCATCAGAACACTTGCATTAGAAAGTGAAACTCCTTCCCTTGCACTCCCATTCACTCCTAAGCAGAGAAATCCAACTTGTTATTCACTACTTGTTAAGTCACTGGTTCATTTTAATGATAAAATGTTCTGTTTTCCAGACTGGCTTATTCTAAAATGTAAAATAACATAAAAAGGTCCTCTATAATGCTGTAGTGAAGACCGCCAGCACATACCCACTTATGAGTATTTTGTAATTTTTTTTTTTTTGTGTGTGTGTGTTGGGGGGGGTGGGGGGGCGGAGATTAGAGCCTAACAGTCATATAATACAGAAAAAATGCGCTAAATGTATAAACTAATAAGATAGACAGTTTTCATACTTCTTCACAAATTGATTATGTAGTTTATATACCTCTTTGCAATGCCTACATTAGGTATCGATGTACTCCAAAAGGATCGCTAAATTAGCATAACAATTATTTTCAGAATCCCTACAAAGAAAAGGCTACTACTAAATACGACATCATCATTTTACTGCCTGGGCGATAGTTGACTATAATAGCAAAAATAAAACCATCCAAATGCTCATACCAAAAATCTATTATACTGAATACACAACCCATATCATATTAATAGTAAAAAGTCCATCAACCTATTATTATATTTCATTCAAGACCATAGTGCATCACTCAATAGTTTTCCAAGTTTTTTTGAGAGTCGGACCACAATTGCATTGATCATAGCTAGGAAGGCGTACAATCAGATTAATAGTTGGAACGTAAAATACACTAGAAACTATAGAAAATTTCAGGAACGCCAAAAAAGAAGTAACCAGATGAGAAAGGCAATTGCGTCAAAAACAACAAAACATAACAAAAAAAAAACAACTCTGATGTAATTTGGGAATATGTTTGAGGGGGCACTTCCATCTTCAGGATGCACTATGAGAGTTATATAGGCTGTTTCAGTCCCAACAACTGCTACAATTATAGCTGGGCAAGTGGTATGGGTGGTCGTGGCTCAAGAAAGGGATTCGAAGATAAGAAATGGACCCAACTTCTCTCTCTAATAAGAATGTCGGAAGCAATTTTCTATCAAGGGGAAGTGTGGCTCAGAGAACAGCAGAGGTAATGTTTACACTGAAATCATAATATTCTATGCCACTAGGGGACTGGTAGAGACATTCCTTTCCCTGCAATTCATTCCAAACGTCTTGTCCCCTCCCAATATCAAAACGTTCAGGCTGCTAGCTTGTCGGGAGGAGATTCTTACTATCAATCAACTACTAAACCAGACTGGAGCATCCGGAACATGAGTATTATGTGTAAATATGATGGGGAGACTGTTGACCATCTACTAATTCATTGACCCTGAGAATCATCATTTGGTTCAATATGTTTGCTTGGTTCTCACTAGGCAATGCCAGATTTAGTTGCCACCTTGAGTTTGTGATGGAGTTCAGAACCTTTGCAAACAAGAGATCAATGACATGGAAACTAACCATTTTGAGAGTATGTGGGGTATGAGTGAGAAGAACAGTCAAATTTAAGAAGTGAATGGAAGACCGTTGCCGAATTGAGGATAGTACTATTTTAATGGTGATTTCATGGAAAGTGGACTCTCCTGTTTTCAAATGGTTACACGTGGCTAACCTTCTAAGCAACTGGAGAGAAGTTGCTTCATCAAGTTTTTCCCCCAATAGGTCAGAGGTCTGTTGAGCAAGGTCACTTGACGGGTATTGGATACCAATATTTGTACTCAAAAGTACACACAAACAGAGATGTACAGCACTTGGAGAGGGAGAATGAAACAAAAAGAAAGAAGTACGAGAAATGAGAAGGGTGGACAAATAGAAGAAGCAGAGGGGATCTGTAGAGACTCAAGGCCCACTCCTTTGCAAGTTCACCCACCATATTACTGGCCTCTCTGTAGTTGAGGTGAACCGTGCACCCTCTAAGGTCAATCAAAAAGAATATCTTTGTGATGCTGTCCACCAATCACCTAGGGAGATTAGACTCTTTTGATTGCCACCATGTGACACTAAAAGACTCACCTCAACAAGCGGCATTAAGAATGCCGCAGAGAGCCTCAGAGAACCACCAGGGTTTGGCCATGTGTTGATAAATTATCAAGGATTTATGTTCATATCCCACACAGATCACTTGGGGACTTGTGATTCCACAATGGCTGAAGTGAAATCCTTCTTGTCAGAATTAGAGTAGTATGCAGCCCTCCTGGATCCCACTAATATAGGAAGGCGATTGTCTAAACAGGATACATTTTGGAAAGTTCAGAGTTGCATTCCACAATCCAAAGTTCTTAGAGTTGTAGCAGATGTAACATTTCTTGAATTCCTTCTAGTTGTCCTACTAGTACTCTTCCATTCTATCTTTTTTTAAAACTAGTACTCTTCTATTCTATTTATTGTAAGAACATCAAAAGTTTCCTTGCCTACAAAAAAAAAATTATAGCGATGATATAAATTAATACCTACCCTAATAATATAAATATGATATATTTTGAGGACAGACCAACTAAACAAATTAGTAGATTATGCAACCCAGAGAAGTAGATTGCGAAAACCAGAGTATGACAAATGGAAGTACATGAAAAGAAAACAAAAATCACAGTTTATGCTTACCTCCATGGTCAGGGAACTTTTTTAGAATGGAATCAGCGGCCTTCAGCCCTTTCTTGTACTGCTTGGTTTCATAAGATTTCTGCACCAAAAAAAAAAATGCTTAGAATTAAACACCACAAGAACCACATCTTAGATATAAATTCTAAGGCACACCACTAAAATTCAATCTAACCCCAAGAACATAAATGCACTCATTTACAAGGGAAAGATAATTTCCAACATGATAAAGAATACCCAAAGATAACACAATACATTATCATGAAACTGCCTCTCCCCTGCAAAACACAATGCACCCTAAACTTTGTCCCATGGAGAAGCATCCACTGGGGAACATCAGAGTATCAATAAAACTCGTTATCTTTCTTTCATTACAATCAACATTGTTTAACAGTACTTTTAATTAATTGCAAGAACAAACATTTAAAAATAAGCTCAGAATTTTCAATGAAGGATAAATTTCTGTTCGATTTGTGCAAGCTTTAAATTTCTGTTCCATTTCTGTTATCTCCAAACAGAAATGTTAAAATTCCCATTATGTTCAGTAACCATTATAAATTGATCCATGCATTTATAATGATCCATGCATGCTAAAGGTCGAGTTCGTGTTTTTGCTTCTTTTTTTTTTCTAAAAATTCGATGCACACGTCCTCAATTTCTTGGCTCGACCAATTACAGCTAACCACAAAAACTTGTCGTTACACAAAAATCATAAACACGCCAGAATTTAACAAACACCTGGCCATTTCATCGGCATTGAATCCACAGTAAGCTCAAACCAAGTAATTCAGAAAAAAATGAATCCAAATGCCTCAAAGCCAATCCGAAGAAGCACAACAAATGACAGCATTGAAAGAAGAACAATGCTGAAAATAAGAGAGAACGATGAAATAAAGAGCTTACAACAATGAGCTTGAATAGATTGGCTTCTTTTGAGGGAAGTGAAGTTCCCATGGCGAAGAGTTGCAGAGAGAGAGAGGGGACAGATTAGGGCTTTGAAAACGGAAGATTGGAGTCCAGAATACTTATCGAGCAACTGGGTTTCGAGATCAGCTTATTTATACTGAGATAAATGACAGGTGATACCCTCTGCGTTCTTTTATAGACAAATAAGTACGAGGGGCATTTACTAGAAAAATGACTATTGGGTCCTAGGTTTTTAGCAATTAAGAGAACGGAGTACGTATGGCAATGGACCCAGCCAAACTTGGGATCAGACAAGTAGACCCGACTTCGAGTTTGGATATGAGTCTAATTTTTTGAACTTACGGGTCGGGTAAAAACTTAGACTCAAACATTATTTGGGTTCAAGTCTGGTCCGGCCGACACCTGTACGTGTAAACTGTTGTTCCTTTGGGTATATTAAGGACTACCAAACGACAAATCAGAGTAACCGTTTGAAATTCAATAGCCGATAGTCGCGACCTTGTTACCAATAATATGGGTATATAATGGTAAAAAAGGATAAAAAAAAAAAAAACTGGGACTAGACGGATACGGATGTGGGTCCAATTTTTAGACTCGATAGGTCGAGTCGGGTCTGTGGTCTAGGTCTGGGTCCAAAATATTGACCTGAATACTATTCGGGTTCGGGTCTAGGTCCAGTCGGACAGGACCTATTGCCACCCTACGCATGGTGGTCCTCATGATCACAAGAATGTGTATATATGAATATCATCACCGTCCAATTGATAAGCTGAACAGTGATGGAGAGTAGTGGGTGTCAAAAACATGATGTTATTTTGGCGGTCGGTCCAACTTTTTCTCTCCATCGCCACGTCGTGGCCCAAGCTATTGATCTAATGGAATGTATCCCTTGTGGGTCAACGGATTATAGCAACTTCCCGATGTGCAAAAACCCTCGACATCTTCTAAAATGCACATTGGTTAACCATCACAACCCATTGATATGGACGAACGGTGGATAGTTGTTAATGCCATAAATGTGCCTTTGGCCCCTAAGCTGTATGGGGTATTTCCTTGCATGAAAGCCCAATGTCTTGTGTTGATGATGACTTTGAGATAACCAGATCTGTATAAATGATTTCAGGTCGGTATTGCCCTCACATGGTTATGATGAATGGTTCAGATTTAACTAACCTCATCCAACGGCCAAAAATGAATTTATTTTTTATTTTTATTTTAAATAATATTAAGCATAAATTTGGGTTCTAGCTTTTTTATAAGTAGAATTGAATAAAATTAATAGATAATATTTTGAATAAAAAATATTGATCAAAATAAAATTAGGGGTATTTTGGTTATTTTAAAAACATTTTGTTAATCATTTTTTTTTAGTTATCTAATGAAAATAAACCTACATCCCGTAATTCAAATAAATATTATATTTAAATAAACATAAAAAATAAAAAATGAAATGTGAAAGTAATTTTTGGCCATTAGATTGGGCCTTATCGAATCTCAATCATTGGAAAGATGATTGTACAATGATGATTTTCAAAAAAATAAATGGCCAAAAAGAATTGCATGTGATTTTTATGTGAATCCCATGGACATGTTTGGAACAAAATCTAATAACACTCCAAATATGGTAATAGTAACAAGTAGAATATTGGTGTGTGCCTCAAATGTTGTTTGTGCCTTTCTGGTACCAGGCAAATACCTAATTAGGGGCTGCAACCCGACTCAATAACCAAAGGGTAGACTCTGGGTATATATAGGTTAAAAAATGGGACCCGAACACTATTTAGGTTTGGGTTCGATACTATTTTTTGCGTCCTAATTTATGAAATATATTTAATATTAAGTACATAGATATTTGAATTTTTGGGTCTTGTTCGGGTCCCATACTATATTTTCAGGTCTGGGTCCAATGAATTAGGGCCCGATCGGGTCTGGGTCCAGGTTCATGTCACTTTTTCTGGTCCCGTTCCCTACCCGTTGCCGTCCCTAGACCTAATTATAAAGCCAAAAGAGTATACGCTCTCAGCGGTGGATATCGTCTATTAACTCCCTTTAATCTATATTATTTTTGTTAACAAGGTGTAGCCTCCTCAACTTAGCAATTAAATTTGAGAATAAAATGTTTTAAATATGCACTTTGTTAATGCCTATATAGAAATAGTGTCATGTAGTAGAATCGAGATCATCTACTTTTCTAAAGTCAAATTTAATGTTTAGATATTTACCCAAAAAATTTAAATGTTCAGAAACTAAAAATATTTTTTTTTTTATTGGGAATTCTCATTGGGGATTCTAAAATGGATCTCAAAATTACAGGTCAAAAAAAAATCCTTGATACAAACTTCTTTCCAGTTTGTAGATTGGATTGTTGTGCTTCATCTCATGAGGAGAAACATAAGTCTAGCAAACATGAACAAGTTCATTTAATATTGATATTCCTTTCCCTCACAACTAGTATGTTGCACCATCCTACAAAACAAAACAAAAAAAAAAAACAATAATAAAAGGGCCGAAAAACCCCCAACCCAAAAAACAGAAGCACATATTTTGTACATTCATTTCAACGAAGTATGCATAAGCAATCAAACAAAAAAATGCACACGTACAGTATTCCCATAGGAGCATTATTGTAAATTTACTCCATGGGATGGAAAAGAGCTACTCATAAGGACTTTTTTGATATAAAGTTTTAGGGATCAACTTTAGAATCACTAGAAGACTGTTTTCAAAAAACAAAAAAAAAAGGTTATTAAACATTTGGACATGGCTGTCCGAAAACCAGATGATCTCTGATTAATCTTAAGATATATTTTTTCAAGCACATACAAAATGTGTTTGGAATTTTTTTCAATTGAGGTTACATCCCTAAAATCTGGGTCCAAAACTACTCCTAGGTAAGATTTTTCTAGGGGGAGTCGAATGGATATTTGGTCCCATGGGAGATTGTAACAACAATCAGTCATAATTGAGAGAACAAAAGCACTACATAACAAACTCAATATATATATGTATATCTCTTACATGAAATACAATGACACTTAAAAGTATTTTATTAAGATGAATGTTCAATACTCCTGAAACACATATGACATGAAATTTAGTGTGATGTTAAATAAGGTTAGATTATTACACAACAACAATTCAATGCACAAGTTAATAGAACCCATATATAACTTACAAGATTGTGATATTATGGTCTTACATTATTAATCATTGTCTAGTTTTAGTTCATTTTGTATCTTGTGGGCAAAATTGTGCATTTAGCTGAGAAGAAATAATGCATTTTGTTCATCATCATTGTCAAAGTCTTTTTCCAAGTAATTAAGGTCGGTTGCATAAATCTTGGTATGTCATTCTTAAGTCATTGTATCCCTCTAAATTTCTTAAAAGTGAATGCCTTAGGTGCCTAGGTTGCACCTTCAGGTGGTATGAGGGCCTAGCCTCATTGCTCAGAGTTGAGTGTGCACCTAGAGCTACCCATGGCCCAAGGAAGAAATAAAACCACTCCTCGAACAAAATTGTCACTTCCCCCATTTTATATCACTCCTAACCCCCTCTCTCCAAATTGCTATCTTAGCAATCTTTAAACTAGAAAAACATCTAAAATCCAATTTTTCATATTACTTTAAGGTAAAAAAAGAAAATAATAACTTTGATAAGTTATTTTGAAGTCATTTTTTTGGATTGGATTCACTACAAATATTAAACAAATGTTATAGGAGCAGACATTGCGTAATTTACAGGTTGATACAAATCCAAAATATCAGGGATCAAATCTTGAGCTATAAAGATTAATCAAATTTGGTCAAATATATTTGTAGTTGAGATATTTTGATATGTCATCTTTAGGATTTTATGGGTGTTTGATATAGAGGAGATGAACCCTGACACCCATGGAAAAGTCCACACCCCCAACCTTATGTCCCCTTCTCCATCACCCATGGTTCCTCTGCACCATGACTTATCCTCTTCTCATTGTATCTTTAACCAAACTCTCATGCCTTCTCCTTACCATGTTCTCCCTTCTTCTTCTTCCCACTCACATGTATCTTACCTTGCTTCCTAAGCTAATTTCCCTTCTCTTCCTGACTGTAAATCACATGGGGATCAAGTTTTGGTCAGTTTGAAAGTTGCACATTTGAACTATTTAATATGTTTACGTGAATAATGATCCTATGAGCCCCTTACACACACAAGCTGCATATCTATCACCCTTAGATCTATGTCCCTATTTCAATGACATATCAGTTGCCAAATCACTCGGTAAAGAAATAAGCATAAACCGGTTTGCATGGTGAAAATAAAGTAATAAGGCAAAATTTTGTGCCATCCCAACCCAAACTCTTTGCAAATAAATAAAAAATAAACTTTTTGCCTCCATGAATCTCTCTCTCAGAGAGAGAGAGAGAAACAGATAAAGAGTAATTGAGAGAGAAATAAGCTCGTGACTATCTCCACAACCACCCATTTCTTGATACCTCCTAAAATATCTCCCCTGCTCACTCTCTCTCTTCCTAAAATAAACCCACAAAGCACCGCTTACTCCTGTTTTTGTCTCTCTCAGATAGAGAAGCAACATATAGAATCTCTATAAAAAACCAATCTTGCAAAACTGCAAAAGACCTATCTTCTATGTTTTTTCTAGAGAGAGATAGCTCTCTCCCTCTAAAACCCAAATCTTTGTGGATTTTCTATGTTTTTTCTAGAGGGGAGAGCTCTCTCTATCTAGAACCCAAATCTTTTGAATTTCTCTCTCACCCCATATCCCCAAAATTAAAGAAATCCTCCCAAACTCCTTCAACCCATTTCTCTTAATGTTCCTAAGTAGAGAAAAAGCAAGCTTACTCCAAAAACCTATTGTCTCTTTGATTTTTTTTTAATTTCAGATAAGAAAGCAATGGAGAATCTCTATAAAAATCCAATATTGCACTTAAGGGAGAGAGAGCTTGTTTTGTAAAATAAGCTCTCTCTCTCACTCTCTCTCTCCAAGTGACGTCTTATTTATTACAAGGTAACTCGGCACCCCGATGCGTCATCGAAATATGGACAGAGATCTAACGGTGATAGAGGGGGGTCCTACACAAACGCACGTATGTGAGGGGCTCATAGGATCATTACT